TGCTGCCCGCCCGCGCCGAACAGCCGCACCGCTCCGCGTTGCAAAAGCGAGAAAGTATGAGCGCCAGTATGAAATCAATTTGCATAATTGTCGGGAGTTTGAATTACTGATTACAACTTGTAAGCTACCAATGTTTAAGGTATAATTTACTTAATTATCCGACAAGATTATTGCAGTTGTGTCGAATCCGTCTTAGGTAAAGCAGACGTGATTGAGCGTCCCGATTCGAGGCGGTGTGAATTGTGCCACTGGTTCATCGTGTTAGGGCTTTTTTTTTTTTTTAAACGAAAATCCAATCGGTCTAATCTTTTTCGCGCGAATTTGGCGCTGGGGAAGCAGGTGGGAAGTGAGACAGGCGTTTGTGGACGCTGTAAGCACACTTTCATCTAAGCTTAGAAAATACTGCCCTGCAAAATTGCTACCTTTCTGCAGGCATTTGATCTATGCAGTTACGTGCGTCAGACAAAATGAACATCGTTTTCAAAAGCAACGACTTCTCCCAATGTTTTAAGGTGCATCCGGATCACTGCTCATTTACATGAGAGGAGCAAGTGTTTGTTTATTGTGGCAGGGACAAAAGATGACCCTGGACAGTGCTAGCTGCGGAGATCTCCACGGCTATCTCTGAGCCCGCGGACGAGCCGCTCGGGAGCTGTTACTGAAGGCCCGAGATAGACCCACGTCTCAAGATTTAAACCAGTTCACAGCTTCCCTTACTTTTTTCCTAAGGATCAGGGAAGGAGGAGAGGGGGAAAAAAAAAAACCCTCAAGCCGAATAAATGAAGGATCTAAAAATAAAAACGAGGAGGATAGTGGTGCTGGAACTAACTGTTGGAGGTGTTATCTGCCTTATCTAACATGCAGGTGCTGATGTGCAGCACTTGCATTAAGCCCCATCAGCAGGGACTCCGCATTATCATTTTTGGTGGAGTCTCTATTTATTTTTTTAAACGACGGTGTTTTTCTTCCAGGGATGTTTCTTTGAAATGCAGTTCGCGACGATTAATAGCAAGTGTGCTCGCGCTGCTCCTGGCGTCATTAAGACTAGGAATCTAAATAATAAAAGACAGGGGGAGCTTAAAGTTCATTTGTATTAAAGGGACAAGATGGATTTAAAAAGAAACGAGGAAAGGAACCGTCGAGCTTCTCAGGTTTGGGATCAGTTCACCTTCTTTCAAGGGACCCTGCATCGTAGTAATTCTGGTCATTTTTATCATAACCTCAGAAGCCTGATTTTCTTTTTACTCAGAAACGTCACACTAAAGGATGATCCTGATTTTTTCATTCTTTAGAATTTTTCAAGGTCTCAACATCTTCATTTTGTTTATTTTGGTGGCCAAAAGCAAAAAGTTGAATTCAGTTCCCTCCTATTTATTTGATAAATTAACCAAAAAAAGTGGAAGAGGATGAAGCATTTAGAAGAAATTATCCAAACAAGAGGCTCGAAATAGCCGCTTATCTTCCTAGAAAACAAACCAATCTCTGCAAGCAGAGAAAAGGCTAGTTACGGCGAAGTCTAAGGCAAGCTTTCTAAAACATCCACTTGCTCCTCGATCTCTATACTCGCAGAACCGACGGTTCCCAGGGAAAGGCGCTCGCGCTTGGACTCCGCGGGGCGCTGCGTAAGGAAGCGGCTGCCGGGGTTT